GAGATAGGGTCTGGCTCTGTCACTCAGGCTGGAGGGTAGTGGTGTGATCTTGGCTCACTGCAGCCTCTGCCTCCTATCCTCAAGAGGTCCTCCCTCCTCAGCCTCCCGGGTAGCTGGGACTACAGGTGCAAGCTACCGCGCCAGGGTTATTTTTGTATTTTTTGTAGAGTCTGGGTTTTACCTTGTTGTCCAGGGTAGTCTAGAACTCCTGGGTTCAAGCAGTCCACCCACCTAGGCCTCCCAAAATGTTGGGATTACAGGCGTGAGCCACAGGGCCCAGTTAACTTGAAGATAAAAGACTGATCAAAGGTGGTTGAACTGTGGCTATCATAACCAGTCATTAGGGGGCACTGTGTGGGAGAAGATTGCTCTGGATGCTGCAGCTAAGGATTCATCTCATAGTTAGCTTTAGAAGCTAGGATCAGTTTGCCTAGATAACATTTTAGCAAAAACGTCTTTGCAAATTATACATATCACCATGGCATTTTTAAGTTATTTTTTGAGACAAAATCCTTCTCTGTTGACTAGGCTGGAGTGCAGTGGCGTGATCTCAGCTCACTGCAACCTCTGCCTCCCAGATTCAAGCTATTTTTGTGCCTCAGCCTCCCGAGTAGCCAAGATTAGAGGCATGTACCACCACGCCTGGCTAATTTTTGTAGTTTTATTAGAGACAAGGTTTTGCCTTGTTGGCCCAGGTGTTCTCGAATTCCTGTCCTCAAAGGATACACCTACCTCTGTCTCCCAAAGTTCTAGGATTACAGATGTGAGCTACCAAGCCCAGCAACCATGGTATATTTCTTACAGCCTTCCCCACTAACCCCTCCCCTCATAGTCATCACAAAACAAAACTTAACACAGTTCGCATACCAGTTTCTGTGGAAAACATCACCAGCCTAATTCAGTTGTTATTCTGTGTTTCCATAGTGCCTTAGGGAAAACAGGCATTAGAGTTCAGAAGCACAGGATACAATATGTAAATTATAAGTTTGCTGCTTTGCCCATCCCTCATTAGACTCAGTGAGGGCAGATATATGATTTTACTGTGTTCACTTACGTGGTACCTGGAAGTGTAATCATAAGAGTGTAATCTCTGAAGTTAGACCTAGGTCATTGGTACTTTTTTGTATGACATTGATTAAGCAAGTAACTTAAATCAGTTTCCTCATCTGTAAAATGGAAATGATAATAACTTCATAATGATATGAATCTCTTAGTGGCTGATATGTGGTAGAACTTATTGTTAGTCACTTATTAATGGCTAAGTAAATGGATCAGGCAAGAGTTTAAGTTTAAAGATAATACCCTTATCTGACTCCTCCAACAAATATTCTCACAAGGAACATGAATGTAGTAGAATCAGCCCCAAACAAGACCTATGTAAAAAAAAAAAAAAAAAAAAAAAAAAAAAAAAAAACAGTGTTAGTCCGGGTAATATACAGTTATGTTCAGTGATCAGAACAAGGTTTTACTCTGTATGAACTCCTGCCATGGGATAGAACTAAAACATGAAAAGTAACTGCCACAAAAACACTGTTGATCCTTTTGCTGATGTTTCACTATCACTGTAAGATTTTAAAGTATGAGTACCCTTCAAAAGTATTCTATTTTCAATAGGTTGTAATAGCTCACCTTATAACTTATATGCAGTAAAAATTCCCACTTGGCTTTTTAAATATAATATTCAGGAAGCATTTCCTCCTCCTCCTCCTCCCTCTTCCTTCTTCTTCCTTCTTCTTCTTCCTTCTTCTTCCTTCTTCCTTCTTCTTCCTTCTTCAGAATTTCCAGAGTAGTTAAGTGCCAAAAATAGGGTCTTGTATGTGGCATACACTCAATAAATATGTTGAAAGAATGAATGATCGACTTGTCAAGGTCAAAGAACTAGCAAGTAGTGAAACAGAGATTCAGATCTGGCTTTATGACTCCCAAGCAGATTAAAGCCATAAATATTATTCTTGCCAACTTACCCTCTTCCACAGCTATCCAGGAATTGTAGAACTAGACAAAGTTGGTGTTCCAAAGTAGTCTGGCAGTCAAACGGTCCTGGCAAACCAGTTTGCAAAGTTATTACACAAGTCTGCCAGTCAAGATCAAGAAACATATATGAGGAATTGCATAAAGGCAAGCACTAAAAATATTAAACATATTTATAGATTCATATTAAAGATAAAGGAGGATCTATGTGCTAATCAAGACTTCTGGAACTCTGAGCTCCTTAGCCTAGCATTTGAAGCCCTCCATAATGTAGGTCTTTAATATTGTTAAAGTTTTCGCTGTCACAGACTCTTCTTCACATCCCCTTATACTTCTTCCTCATTGCTTTCTAAACATTTCTTAATATTCCCCCATCTTCATTTCTGTTCAAATTTTATTCTAGGTCTGAAATCATCTTCCATATCTACTTATCAAATTATCAATTTTTATTTATAGTACCTCAAAATGTTCTCCCTTCTCCACAATCTTAACTTCTGTTTGATGTTTTTCTCTAGAGCCTCTCTGAGGTCGGTGATTTCTGTCTTTTATTCCTGTATTTTTACAAATAATAGGAATCAAATAATTATAGAGTGAATGAATGAGTGGTAAACTTCTAGCAGGCAGGACTCTTGTTCACCTAGTGTTGCCCAGCAGTCCAGACTTTTGGGAGGTAGCATGCTCAGGTTTGAAGAACATAGAATGAAATATAGGTTAGGAACTGGATTCCACCTCTTTGTAGCTTGATGACCAGGGACATTTACTTAACCTTTCAGAAGTACACTTTTGTGAGTAAAATGAAACCTCAGATAGGCTAAAAAAAAAAAATGATCGTCAGTAGTTCTTTATATGTAGTTCAGAATATGCAGAAGGATTTCTTAAGTCTTTATACAGTTGAATTGAATCACCTTCTAGTGTGCTACCTTCCAAGGGATATCCTGATAATCAGTTATAAAAACATATGGTCTAGAATTCGGGGAATCCACACATGAAACAAAGCAAACTGTATACGATGAGCTATAATTGTTAAATTAAATATGTGATAGGAATTCAGAGAAGAGAAGGCCATTAGTAAATGAAGTAGAGGCCTGAAAGGTGATCTGAAAGTTGTGCAGTATTTGGAAGAGAGTAAAGGAAAGGAGGATAAGAACAGTATGAACAAAGATTGTCGTGAGCATGTTTTTGACATGAGGGCATGTCAGCCAAGATCTAGAGAAAAAGGAACATTTTGTAGAATAGTCGTAAAATAGATGTACTTATGGAAGGCCTTGAAACTTCAGTAAGTCTTTCCATTACTTGCCACTTCTGTCCCCAAATTCATTCAACATATATATATTGAACATTGACCCCATCTATTGTTTGGGCCTCATTTCCCAGTAGACTTCTCTCACACAGCCTTTGCTATAGTCACATTGAGCTTTTTACTGTTTCCTGAACATGATCATTTTTCTGTCCTTCCCACCTTTAATGTCTCATCAGCACTTGGCATAATTGATCCTGCCCTCCTATTTGAAACAGTCATTTCTTTTGGCCCCCTTATACTATACTTTCTTGATTTTTCTCTTTGATTTTTCTCATTGATGATTTGTCAATCTCCTTTAAACTGACTCATTCTCTTCTGCTTGATTTCAAATGACTGAAATGCCCTAGGGTTCCATCTTGGCCTCTTTTTTTCTCAATGTCACTTATTTTTTCTAGGTGATTTGTTTTGGCCATGAAGTTTAAAACCTGACTATATGCTACTGACTCTCCTGCTGTGGGTTCTTTTACTTGACCTTTGATTCTTATATTCAACTGTACATGATATATTTTTTAAAATGTCTAATAGACATCTTAAAACATCTTGATAGACATCTCAAACTTTGAACCAAAACTTCTCTCTCAATTTCTTCACCTCACCTGCCACTGCTCCACTTTTTCTTGTTAAGTGTACTTCCATTCTTTTGTTTACTAACACCAGAAACCTTGGGGTTATATTTTTCTCTCATATCCTTCAGTAAGTGGTCTGACTTCTACCTCTAAAATATATTCTGAACTTTACAGCTTTTCATCTCTTCCTCTACCACCCTACTCCAAGCTACCATCACTTTTTTTTGGTGCTAGAGTTTCACTCTTGTCCCCAGGCTGGAGTGCAATGGCGTGATCTTGGCTCACTGCCATCTCCCTTCCCCCCCACCCTCGGTTCACTGGATTCTCCTGCCTCAGCCTTCCTAGTAGCTGGGTTACGGGCATATACCACCACACCCAGCTAGTTTTTTGTACTTTTAGTAGAGATGGGGTTTCACTATATTGGACAGAGTGGTCTTGAACTTCTGACCTTGTGATCCGCCTGTCTCAGCCAGCTACCATCACTTTTTTCCTGAATCAACCTGCTATCTGCTCTCCTTACCTCCAGTCTTTGCTCACTGTAGCCAGAGCAGCCAGAATAATCTTGGTGTAAGTGTAAATGTAAGTCAGATCTTACCAATTCCCTTTGTAAGTGTAAATGTAAGTCAGATCTTACCAAAATGTTCCGGGGTGGGCTGGGCATGGTAGCTCACTCCTGTAATCTCAGCATTTTGGGAGGCCGAGGCAAGCGGATCACCTGAGGTCCGGAGTTCAAGACTAGCCTAGCAAACATGGTGAAACCTGCACCTGACTGAACCAGAGTCTTTGAGTATACATTTTAGTGACATATTTGGATGTAATTGACAGTTTTGTTGGAGGAGATACATATGCAGATGTTATGAATTAGCATATGACTTGTAGAAAATTCTTAAGTATACAAAGCATTTAGACTTGAAATTTAAAAACACCTTGGTAGAGAAAGAGTTAACAGGTTAGCCCCCCCACCCCCACCCCCCACCACCACCCCCCCCACTTGGTTGTTCTCAGTATGTTCTCTTGCCTTTAGAAGCTGAAAATATGATAACATTGGGCCCGGACATGCCTGTGTGGAGGTTAGGGTACTCCTGGGGTTTTTGCAGCTAGCTGTAAAGCAAGCTAGAACTTGTTCATCTCTAAGTTCCTTGTTTTTCTTTCAACCCTTTCAGTGCCCTGCAGGAGTCATTAAATCAAAACTTCATGCTGATCATCACCCACCGAGAAGTCCAGCGGGAGTACAACCTGAACTTCTCAGGAAGCAGTACTATTCAAGAGGTGAGTTATGTCTCACAGCTAAGAAATAAAGGTAGCTCATTATAGCTAATGTTGACCCTGTTAAAGAGGGCTTATCTGTTCTGGTTGGAAATTCTCTTTATGTTTCATTATTGGGTTCTTAAATTTTAATTAACTGGAGCATCAATGATTACTGTAGATATACTAAATGACTTGACCTAGAAAGAAAGATGTAAATGGGAACTCTAGATAATTTTTAAACTAGTCAACTTGAAACACTGCTTAAACGTAACTGATTATTATGTAATATATTTCATTGTTTTATAGTAATTATGCAAAATACTAATTTGGAAATTGTTGACAGAATTCATTCTGGAGGATCCTTTATTTTATTTGAAAGGTTGCTCTCAAATAATTATTTATATTGCATACCCTGTTTCTAAAAGGAATTTGAGGAGCTCAATCCTGGCCTTGAGCAGGATTCCTAAGGTGCTGCTAGAGACTGTCTTATAGTGTCAATATTTTCTTCAACATGACCAACTGGGGCCACTCTTTCAAAAGAGAACCAACCCCAAGAGAGAAGTGGTGCCTTCTTGGTATGCCTTGGGCCCCACCCACCTAAAGCTAGTAATTTTTCTCTGTGGAGGGTGAGGGGAGCATTTAAGGCTATGACAGCACTTGTGTTTACAAACATTGAAATGATGACCGTGTCATATTATACCTTATAAGTTATGAAAGCAACAATCATTTGTCTACTAATTTCTCTAAAAAGAATTAATCATCCTTAATTTTGGATTATTTTATGATTTTTTTCTTAGGCTACATTGCTTAAAATAATCAATGTCATTTTGAAAGAACAAGTCATTTTCACCCTAATGTTTTCTTTCAGAAGTATATGAATTGTTTCTGGAGACTATTAATGGTTTTCTTTTTTTATATTGTGTCACTGAATTTCAGCTTTGAATTTGACATAAATAACTCATTGCTTTCAGTTTATTTTCTTTGATTACTTGAATTGTTTATTGACTAGAAGCAAAAGTCTTTAAAATTTTTTCTGATCTGATTCATAAACTGAATCATAGGTTTGCGTTATTTGATTTTTTTTTTCAGGACTTTAAAATGTATAAATTGTAATTTCATTTTCAGCCTCCATAATATTTTATTCTCTAAATTAAAAAATTTAATTCCTTGAAGAATTATTTGTTTTTCTGGTAGAAACAATATTTTGCTATGGCTCTATCTCAGAGTTATTATAGTATTTGAAATTTCACAGGATAGTAAAATGTAAATTATGTATGTGAATATAATTAAGGAAATTTAGATTTAAAATAATTTGTTTTTTCAAAACAAAGATAATAGGTAAATTTATTTCGTTGCTGACTTTTTAAAATTGAAGAGTAGTATAATGCATGATGGATAAATATAGTTTGCCTTTTTTCCTTTGGATTGAATTTTCTAGCCATAATTTTGCTGCCACCCCCTCAACCCCCACCCCCCGTTTCTGTGATTTGGGTGTGTTTCAGCTTTCTTCCACAAGAGGGCAGAAAGGACTATTCAGCAGATAGCCTAAAAATGCCATTCAGTGTTTTCAAATTAGCTTCTCTTATATTAACAAAAAGGAGCATAATGGCCAAGTTATTGTTTGATTTACAGATAATTGGCATATTGCAGGGAGGAGACTTAATTTCACCCTTTTAAATTAAACAGGGAGATTTAAAAAGACATAAAATATTCATTAATGTTCGGTGATTATAAAGTAGTGGCATATATTTATTTTACCTTTATTACTGTTTCGATGGGAAAATACTGCAAATATTTCCGAAATCGAGTTGGCCATACTGACAAGTTGAAATGTTTAAGCAGCGTTAATGCAATCTGCTCACACCTGATATCCTATGCAGAATGATTCAAAATGACTACATCAATTATTAAAAAGAAATATTTAAAATTCTGTAAATGTCCCATTGTGTGCCACAGTTGGCTGAAACTGTTCTCCATGGCCTGCTATTTAGATTATCAAATATATCTTAAGCTTCAAGGACTTAAAAACAGTTAATCTTTTTTATACCATTTTTTAAATGACATTTAAAAATGTTCCAGAAATTTTTTTGCCAAGACATATATTCTTATGTATTCCTTGTCAAGAGTTTGGTTTCTTCTCCTTTTTTCTTGTTTTCTCTTTTTAATTTAAAATAATATTTTTAAATGCTAGTTTGCTAGTAACAAATAAATGCAGTTGCTACTTATGTCACTTGCTTCTCTGTGAGTAGACAGCTACACATAGGCTCTTTTAGTCTGTACAACATAGATAAAGGATGTGGGTCACCTCTCTGGGCCTAGTTCTGTGACTTTTCTGCTTCAACTTGTGGAATGGACCAGGTGGTTTTAGGTGAAGGACAAGATGTTCTTATCTACAGCCATTCAATTTACAATGACACTTAAGTATGTACATTTTTTCTTGTTGCATGATTGGAAAGTTAGTTTCATTGCATCAAGATAAAAATATAATTGGGAAACAATTTTGTAGTTTTATTTTATAATGCTAGTATTTGTTTTTTATTAATGTGAACACTTAATTATGCCATATATGCTAAGCTGTAAATTAATCTCTGTCACCAGTTTCAGGAATTTCATTTCAGTATTAATAGGTCTAAGAATAAATTGACTAACATAATTGAGGGAAAGGAAAAAATGTTTGAAACACAAAACAAAAATTTCTGATTTTTTTTTTTTTTTGGAAAGCCTTGCATTTTAAAAAGAAAGCTTTGCACTATTTTTCACCCTGGGGGAAATTTCTATTAAATGAAATAGGGTTGAAAAAGGCACTATGATTTCAACTTTTAATTAGAACAAAGTAGATTTTTAAAAAATACTGAGTTAGAAAATAGAACTAAAATGCAGTTTGAATTTCAAATAAACTATTCAATGGCCATATGGTCATTGCAAGTTAGTGGTGATGAACCAAGAGTTGTACAAGTGTTTGTTCATTCTGGCTTTGTGGTCTGCTGCCTCACAATGCATGACTTGTGTCCTTTGGGTGCTCTAGATTTTAATTTAAGCCAGTTAGTTATTGAGGGTTTTCATTTGATTCTGTTTTTTTTAAAGCTCTGTACAAATCCTTCCACTTACATTATCCTCCTAGTTGAGGAAAAAGCAGTGACAGAATAAAAAGGTCAGAATGGAGAGAGTTACAAGTAGTCTTAAGACAAAAAATCTTTTATCTTTACCATTATGGCAAAACAGCTTATAAAAATCATCAATGAATGTGATAGTAACTTTGTGATAGTCTGTCTTTTTGACCTTTTTGGTTCCTAAATTAGCTGTTTGTCACACTTTAAAATTGTGAATTTCCTTAAATAGGCTTACCTTATTTTAATGAATTTTTTTATGCTGAGAACTCAGATTTTTCAACAGTTTATTGTGCAGTTTCTAGTAATTCTCACTAATGCTATTAAAGATCTGTGGTTACAAATGCACTTGGGATGGGTTAAATTAAGGGGAAAAAAAGATTGATTTGCTTTCAGCAAATCCAAAACCCAGGTGTGGAAAGGATATGGAGTCCCTGAAATCAAGCCAACTTTTCTTGGAAACTGATTCTTTGTTATCGGTCTTACTACTGCAAAAGCTTCTGTTAGGTAAAATATTGTTTTCTTTGAATGTGTTATATAATTTAAGGAATATACACATGACCCAGAATAACAATAAGAAACCTAAGTATTATTAGTGCGGAATCATGGAGTATTACTTATTTCTTATATCAAGAAGCATGATGCATAGCTACTGGAATTATTTAAATCCTCTCCCAAGTTTCACTTTACCCCAGAATTTTCACTGTTCTTATTAATGTTGATTTAGTTCTTAATGGCATGAAAGGGGAAAATTGACAACCTGTAAAGATATATCTTAGGGAGTAGTAAAACATTTCAGTACTAGCACCACGTTGCACAAACTGGTCATTAAGTGGGAAGCCATTAGAGTCAAATTAGTATCAGGAACTGAAAGAACTAAATACATAGATTATGCCAATCCTTAAAAATAATCTTGGTTACATAATCATGAAGCTAACTGATTCTAAACATTTGAACCTAATGTCAGATTTTGTTGTGTCTATTTTTGTACTTGCTACTTTCTTAACTTGCTTTACTAATGTCAAATATTTTGAACTGTTCTCCTTTAATGCTGGTGGCCAATAACAGTAATTAAAATATGTAGTCTTTTACAAATTGTGTTAATTATTGATGTTCTAGTAGTGGGTTGTATATACATTCTTAACTAACAGGGCCTTTCTGTAAATGTTTTAAGTATTGGGTGTTTTTTTTTGGTTGGCTTGTTTGTTTTCTAGTATAGGGAGGTTTGGGGTTGCTGGCACAGAACTGAAATAAGAGTAGGATAACTGAGAATGTGCATATGCAAGAGGGTAAATTAAGTTGTGTGCTTATTTAATTAAAAGTTTAAGTGGTTTGTTTTTACTGCAAGATAAATGGCATATATTGGATCAATTATAATGAACCAATTTAATTAATGTATATTATAGTTTGATTTTTTTCAAAATTTGAAATCATAAATGACATTTTAGCAAGAATGAAAGAGATATAATTTCTTCTGCAACTGGGCAGTGAATTCAAGCTTTCAGAAAAGAAGATTATGTGTTTTTTTAAATATGCATATATATTATTATTCAAGTTGCATTTGGATATTGAGATCTGTTGCAATCATACCACTTCAAATGAATAAATCAGTAGGGATCATTTTATAAATATTGAGGTTTCCTGTGATTCTTAATAAATTATCCCCTGAGGTAATAAATTTAATATTTATAATGCAGCGCTTTGGAACTGACAAGTCTTTATCCCCCTCTAGAAGTATTTTAGAATGATCTGGATTGGATATCTTTTTCGACCCATATAAGTATTTGTCTACCTACATTTCAAGAAGACAGAGGCAATGAAATTTTAAGAATTAAGGACAGTCTTTAGCCTTTTGTTAGTTAAGATATGTGTATCAAACATCATAGCCGACTACCTTTTATAATTTGTGATTTC